ATGTTTCAAAGGACATTTTGCATTGTTAAGAAGTGATAATCATAAGTTCAGGATTGGTCAATAAAGCCTCATTCATTCACCCAGTGTAAACCTGTTTTCAAAATCTGTGCAGGACTCAATATGCACCCTTTTCGATTGGGGTCCTGAATATCATTGGGACTGCAGGCCACACCCACCCACCAATACCGTTCCCCAGATACAAACAAACAAAAAACATACAACCATACTTGGCATTTTATTGGATTTATAACTCAATTAACAGTCAAATTTGTCACAACTTACATTTCCATAACATCAAAATCAAGGCTTTGCTCAGATGTTAGAGCTCAAGCAGCTTATACTTTTTTTAACAAAGAATAAAAAACGTCCCTCCCCTAGGATTCCAGAGAGACCCAAACCACATAAAGTACTCACGATGGGAAGGGAGAGGGAGCTCTTTTTGCTGCATAACTGGCCACTACAGGGAAACCTCCCAACTGCAGTCCTTAAATACTGTCCCTAATTCCAGGAATTCCAATTGGATCATTTTGGATCCTATATTTTTACATATTTAAAATGGCCAGTGTCCCCATTTTAGCAATGCACAGGAAATGCCATTTAACTGTAATAAGGAAAATAAAATAGGCTGGGTGGCGGCAGTCCCAAGAAGAGTGTCCAAATGATGTGCCCCCTTTGCACATTCCAGGAAAATCTGCCCCAAACCTAATAATGTCCTTAGACATTACCATCCACATCCTGGTGAAATATGACCTTACAATTCCCAATACAAGTAAATTCAGAAGCTGTTTACCACTGCTCAGGGTAGAGAGACTCCCAATCTCCAAGCACAACTCCTCTTGTAGGTGCTAGCCCAGCTTGTGTGTTGCATAGATGAGAACTAAGAAAGTCCGATTGGCTGCACTCCAAACAATCCATTTATTGCTACAAGATAAAACCAATACAGACAGTGGAAATACAGTAGGGAACTGGCAAGTAAACGCGTTTCACACTAAAGACAGAGCTTATTCATTACCCTAATGGGTATGAATATGGGTTTGAATAGGTAATTCATATGGGTAAGCGCTTATTCATTACCCCAATGGGTATTGGTATGAATATGGGTATGAATGGGCAATGAATAAGTGCTGTCTGTAGTGTGAAACACGTTTACCTGCCAGTTCCCCACTGTATTTCCAGTCTGTATTGGTTTTATCCTGGTTTAATAAAGTGGATTGTTTGGAGTGGAGCCGATCGACTTCCTTTGCTCTCATAAATTCAGAAGCTGTTGGGTGGGCGCTCTACCACATTACACCAAGGGGACACAAACACACACAGAAGATGTATAGGTTGCTTGGAAATCTCCAGTTTAGGAAAATTAATGCTTGGCCTCTATTATGACAATCCAGCACATGATGTCTCTAAGCAGTGACAAGATTGATCCAGATCCGCAACACATGAGTTACAGCTGCTTCTAATTCATAAGAACAACTGTTATTTAATCAAAACAACAAATGCTTACAATTTGATTTGGAGAAGTACAGCAAATTATATCTGACATAAAAACAAGCTGCGCAGGAGTGTAATAGCGTTTAAACTGAATGATTATCTTGTAGCACCAAATGCCAGAAAAGGCAGACAATTTCTTTTATTGTGGAAAAGATGGACAACTTTCCTTGCAAATGAAGACATGGTAAAATACTTAAAAAACAATTCCACTTAGACTGATTTGTATCTAAAATAGATCACATAACATTTTCCATTAAAAAAACACAACTTTTTGTGTCCAAAATACTGATTATTTGTTGTAGGTGGACAAGTTTTAACTTCACATGTCATAGTAGGGTATGTGTAAAGCAGGAATAAGCTCAGCTTGTGTAATGCTATGGAAAACTTACTAGACTGGACGTTTTATGTTATATTTATACAGTTTGCATGATGCTCTTTCATGTACAGAACTATAAATGGTTCTCTAGTAGCCTTGCCTGTGTTCTCATTGCAAAACGTTCATTTCATGTGAAGTCCTTAGGGTGAAAATTGAGGGCACAAATCCTCCTGGCAGTAGCTCCAATCCTTCCCTCCTCTACCTAAAATGAAAGCTTTAGTAGGTGGTAGATAGACTATAAAATAAATTAGGTATATAAAATAATAAACATTTAAGTTAGGTGTATAATGTATTCATATATTATGATTTTATACAGTAAAATGTGACCTGTAAGGCTGGAGTTATCGTCAGGGCAAAGGAAAAAAGGTGGCTTTTCCCTGTACAGTTATTGGCCACACAATATTCCTTTCTGTGAACCACTTTTATTTCCATGTTTTCCAAGATTCACTCTCTTTGCTGTTTTCATTGATCATTTATTGTGGTGTCTGGTTTTAGTAAGATCTGATTATACAGAAGAAAAAAAAACACAGAAGACTGACCAGAGGAAGGAAATATTAACAGATCCTTTTTTAAATTTTGTTATATAAAGATACACAGTTAGGCATGTATTGTCTGCCTAGAAGTTGGTTAATTAAAATGACATTATTAAGGATCATATTAAGGATAATATTATACTGATGTGCATTTTTTGGTTATTACAGGCATATGTGGGCAGGCCAGGGCTGCAACACATCTCAACATACACGGGGTATATTTATGAAATGTACCCCTATGTACATGGAGATATTTTGCAGCCCTGTCCTACCCTGCATGCATTTATGCAGGGTAGGACATGCCTACAATGGAGGTAAGCGGATATTTTATTCAAGTGATATTGGCAGTTTTTTATGGCCTATTTCTTTACAAACTGCAAACAATGCTAGAATGTAGTAAGTCAGGACATCACAAATCAGTTTTTAACTTTAGGACGACTGCATAAAACTTTTTCTAATTGGCTCATGTAGCCTGTTTTGTACCATATCATTTACCTGGTTAGAGGCCGAAGTAAATGTGAGGGCTTCCCTCACACTTCTGATCCAAATATCTTTGGAGTAGAGAACAGGGGGTGAGAAGGCACCGATTGGCAAAGATGCAGAAAGTCCAGTACACAGCTGCTCACTTCTGGCAGAAGACTTTAGTGTTAAGAGCTCATGCAGACCAGTAAGGACATCAGTAAAGAGCAGGATGAGGATGTCAACAAGGAGCAGGGCAGCAGGTGGAGTGACCTCAGAAGAGTAATCTGGAACAGCAGCTGATAAGAACAGGCTTGTAGCATAAACTGAAATAAGCTTTGCGTTGGCAAACATAAAAACAACATGTAAACAGGGTAATTGTCAAGGTCCTACCTTTTCCCAGAGGTTATGTTACTCCATGTGCTGGCATCCATCTTGGATTTCTGCTGAGCATGATGGGAATCTTTTATGCCTTCAGGTCTCTGAGGTCCATCCCCCAAAGGGGTGTGGCTGAGTACATATAAGCCTGGGATCTGCACATGCTCTTTGCACTTGTGTCTTGTGTCTTGGTCTTGCTACAGCTCTGTGTATACGCTCGTGACTCTTCTGGTATTCTGACTCGGCTTGTGACTAAGACCATTCTCTGTGTTTCCCTTTGATCTGACCTTCCGTTGCTGAACCCGGCCCGTGACCTGTGATTCTCTGTCTACTGTTCTGTACTGTTTTGTCCCGTTGTTGTTGACCCGGCTTGTCTGACTACGCTATTGTCATTCTCACCAGCTACACGCCATTGGCGGCGGCCATTACCGCAGCCGGGGTGTCTCGGGGGCCGCGACCTGGTTCCTGGCTGCGTCAAGTCCATCCCCACCATCAGGGGCCCTGGTGAAGGGCAGCCTGGGACTTAGACTCCGCGCCCTGAGGGACTTCGGTCTGTTGGTGGTGGTTGTCCTCAGCCAGTGCATTACCCTGCCACTAGGCCTACCTGTCCGTTCCACAGCCCTGCCCTGACAGTAATAGTCAGGTTGTGGTCAGTGGGCAGGTCAAGACCGCAGCAGGAAATCAGCCATGGTCAGGAACTAGCTGGATCAGTGAGGGAAAGAAAAAAGCAGAAGCTGGTCCAAGACAGGTCGAGTCAGCAATGGTCAGGGACAAGCTGGGTCAGGTTCAGGTCACAGGATAACAGCTGAAGACCATCCAGCAAATTTCTTTTGTAGACGTTATGGCTCAAATGCTGGAATTAGGGATGTATGCCCATGTGTCTGCAATGACCCTAGATCTTTGGCCATACACTGAGGTAAACCCATGCATGCAACTCCTTCTGATGTCATCATGACACACCACCACTGCTCTTTTATAAAGTATAGCTAATAAATCACAATAGTTTCAAAGGCATGGTCCAGAAGAAGATGTATTTATCACTTGAGTTATGTGACATATCAGATAGATTGTGTGGCTCCTTGCAATTTGGGCTATATAACATTTGGTATAATATTGAATGACACACTCTAATACCTAATTAAAGAATAAGTTCACCTTTGGAACATGTCATAAGTTCCACCTGTTCCAGCATCTGCACCCCATACCCCTGATCCTCCCTCCCCTGTGACAGCGGGCAAGGGATCCCCTGCACCCGCTGTCACAATTTAAAAGCAAAAGTGGCCATGCAGAGGTCCGCCCACACCACTATGTCTTCCATTTGCAGTTTCCTGTGAATCAATAGCCTACAAGTACCATCATCCTTTGCAGCTGATGGCCTGTAGTTCTCAATGAACTATGACAGTGCTGGTGAGCGCTCTAATTAGTTAATTGAGTCTTTCTGCTCAAGAGTAACTGTCTGCCCGTATGAAGTATGCGCAGACAGCTAGCCTAAGATCTAATAAATGCACATATTTTTACCTGCAAAAAAATTATATTTTTTTTTTTTTCAAAAGGTGAACTTATTCTTTAATAAAGGGCAGCAATGAAAGACTGGGTTGAGGGTGGATTGTGTCATGTGATCTCTCATCAATGGCCAACTGGGCTTGGAATGGGTTAAACACACTTCTAATAAAATAATACATACATTTACTGTATATATTTCATTTTTTTCTAGATTGTTTAAAGTATGTCAGTCTGATTATATTTATATTCTTGTCTCATGTCTATAGGCTCAGCATTTGTTAAAGTGTCACTCATGAATCACAACAGGTTTATTAAGAGTAAGAAGACAGCTGTTGTACTTGGGACTCCGAATCCTGTGTATAATGAAACGTTCAGCTTTAAGCTGGAACAAAGTGAATTGGACACAGCAAGCTTGAGTTTTTCCATCTTGCAGAATGCTGAAGGCAATAGTAAGTACCCACACACATACAGTATATCCATATAAAGTATCAATATATTTGATGGAGCACCTATGTGCCGAGTTCCGAAGGAGGATCTTGGATTATACCAGTGAGACCTTACTTACACAAGCACTTTCTGACTTCTCATTTACAGAGAGTCACATATACTCTGGTGAGCTTATAGGTATACTGGATGAAAGGTCACGTGGTGGTTTCTATAACAAGTCAAGCTGGGACACATGGAGACCATGGATTCACAATATTTTTGTTGGACTTTCTCATATCTCTGCATATCTCATGCCTGATGGGATACTGACAATCATTGCAGTAGCTGATGCTACTAGAGTGATAGCCGCAATAATCCGGGTCATGCTCAGGTTGTGTGCAGGTGGCGTCAATGCCTTTGCTGTCTAACGTGTCCAATGACAGGATGTCTTGTATTCATTGAATAAAAATGTCAGTGAATGGTGATGGTGCCGAGTGAGAAACCCTATGGTCAGTGAAGCAGCCAACTGCACAGAACCTAAACAGGATCTGGAAGATGCGCCAAATACTACAGTGGTTTCCAGCTTCCCAAGCGGTCCATCAGGCATAAGATATGTATACACACTTTGGCCCAAGCTGGATTAAAGGATAAGTTCACCTTTTATAAATGCAAATTTTTTTGCATTTAAAAAAATGTGCATTTACTTTTTTTTGTTTTAAGAGCCTGTCATTGCACCAGTGCCATGCAGGTCTTCTGCAGACTTTTAGTGTAATTTGTCTGCTCATACGGGCAGGCAGTTTTATGTAAAAGACCCTACACTGACTGCTGGGAAATGCAAATTGCGGCAAAAATGCGATACTGCAGTTGCCATGTTTTTGGCGGTCAAAATTTTAATTTCCTGAATGCAATTCTTTTGCGTTCAGAAGAGGGAGGTTTAACCTCACCTAAACGCGGCAGCTCTTAAACTCTGCTAAAAACCTATGTGTACATGAACACATAGGCTTTTATAGAGCTGAGTTTAGGAGCTTTGGCAAAAAAATGCCAAAAGCTCCTAAACTCAAGTTTAGGAGCTGCTCGTGTACATGAAGCCTAACACTGACAGGAAGAATCAATGAATTATCATAGCACTCAACAGTGCCGTGGTTGTTCATTGAGAACTACAAGCTGTCGGGACTTGTAGTTTCTCATTCACAGAAATCTGTGAATGAATGGTGCTCCCAGGTGGGCGGAGCCCCGCAGAGCTGCATTTTTTAACTGAAGATACCCCACTAGCTGTCACAATGGAGGATTGGGGGGCCATTCCTACAATAACATATTACATGTTATACCCAGAACATGGGTGTAACATGTTACGAAAGGTGAACTTATCCTTTAATGTAAACGTGTAATACCTGGAGTTCAGCTTTAAGCTTGGGTCTAAAGCTGTAATTGTTGGGGAGAGCAAACCATTATATTATTTTGATGTTAAAGCGGAACTTTAACCTATCCGCCTAATTCCCCCCCGTCTACCTATAGTGGTGTTCTGCTCAGGAAGGATACTCACCCACCCAGTGGATCCAGCATTGTACCGCTCTGATCCCCTTCTCTGTAGCCGGCACTTGAGTTCCACACTGCCTTTGGGAAGTACAGGAACTCCTCCTGATGATGCGCCGCTGGGCCCGCCCCCTTCTGCTTTAGTGAATGGATACTAACGTCACATATCCTTTGAGGCACCAGTGGGCGCAGATGTCATTAGCCTAGGCAAATGACAGAAAAAACTTTTTTTTTTCAAAAAACTAGGGGAAAAAAAACATGGATAGCTGTGCAGCAGAGGGGGAGCAGGTGGAGAGGAGGAAGGTTATTAGAAAGGGTAAAGTTCTGCTTTAGGAGCTTGTACCATTTTTCTAATAACTTATGAAAAGATTACTCATTATTATTCATATTAAGCATTGATTATAATGAAATGTCAGCAGTTTAAACACAATTGTTGTATATTGAATTGGAACATATGGTTTCAGTACTGCGTGGGGCTGAGGATAGTCTAGATTTGCTTCTGTTTGACCATCCAGTAATATAAACACTTTGCTTCTGCCACCAGGGAGTTAAACTATTCTGCTTCAAAAACCTTGGATGGAAAATACAACAAACAGCAATGTGTGAACTAGGTGGCCCTCTCCAGCTGTTTATCCAACCTTCACCTGTCCCATATCACTAGCAAACAAGACTTTAGTTCCCTTATTAACCATTTTACCGTCAATGAGCACTGCAGGTCTTTGTTATGATGACGGAGGGTAATTACTGCACAGATGTTTTATTCATATGAAAAGGGCACGAGGATGTGTATCTATCAAGCCGTCTAATTATTAATATTATTATAGCCTTTGTTATGCCCAGGAAGATTTGTACTGTAAGTATCTCCCAAGTGAAACAATTATATTGAATATAACAGAGAATTAAGGTTTTAAAACTCAATTAGATGCCAGCTACGGCCATCTGTAGGCTTTGCCAGCTGTTGGATGACGGAGGCAGGTAAGAAAGAATAATCAGATATTACTCCGTTAGAGAGCTCTACAGTATATTAAAAAATACTCATTAAGTATGAGTATAAGTATTCATTTATGTCCATTGATTAGTGAAACCAAAAAAGGCAAAGCTTCATTTATTTAGTTAAAAACCTGATTTATTTAAAAAGTACAAAAAGCTGGATATAGGAAAATTATAGGTTGTTTCTAACTTGCCTGGTTCCATTTCATCAGAAGGTACTGTTGGTTAAAATGTATGCAAATAATGCATAAAATAAAGGCGTTGAAGATAGAAAACAAAACACTGCTATAAAAAAAAAGTTAATATTCTTAAGCTGGAAGTCATACATCAGAAAACATAGTTCAGTAGAAGTTATGTTGTAAATGTAATGTAAATGAGTCACTGGGTCACCGATCTTGCTTGTCTGGATCCTATTTCAAAAGATGCCATCTAAAAGAGATTGCTGCCGAACTTGCTAATGTGATATAGTCACTTGACATTGGGAGGAGTTTTGTTCTACAAAACACTTCCTAGGCAAAACATATGGAAAGTATTATGCTATCAATGTGCCTATATGGGAGGCAACTGATATCACTGAAAAAAAAAATCTACCTTCAGTGTAAATTTTAGTCGAATTATAAGAAGCAGAATTGCTTATGGTTTGATAGTTTTTTGATCAATTTTCTGTGCAATAAACCGTTTACAGTAAATGCATCAAATTCATGTATTGACTCTTATGTGCTAACAAAGAAACAATGTGTACACAAGTTTAAAAACAATTCTACATAGAAAGGTACTACGAAATCTGTTGATGTCAGTACAACAAATGATTTGAAACATTAATCAACAATTAGCGATAACAGGTCAATTGATTCCCCTGCGCAAAATCACATCACATCCTGTCATAAAAAGTGGAAGGGGTTGATAAATGGTGATCTAGGTTGGGAAAGAAGCATCAAAGGAAATGAGAGAGACAAGGAAAGAGAGAAATGAAGAGAAGCCACTAAAGCTTCAATGTATTCAGGCCTGGTCCACATCAAGAGTAGGACTAAGAACAGGGGTGGACTGACAACTCATGGGGCCCCCGGGCAACAGGGTATCATGGGGCCCCTGTGTCCTCACCCACACTCAAACCACACCCAAAAAAGCCTATGAAAAAAGGTACCAGGGACATCTCATGGGGTCCCTAGTGACCCTGGGCCCTTGGGCAGTGCCCGAGTTCCCAAATGGTCAGTTGCCCCTGACTAAGAACATATGTGGACCAGGGGAGCCATGTTGCCAAGTATTTGGTCAGAAATCCTATTTCACTTTTCCTATGTAAAAGTAACTAAAGACTTGCTTTCAGCAGTGGAAAGAGTAGATGTTTTCCATACCTTACCAATAGTTTGCTTGGCTGCCGTAAGAACATGGACCATTGAATGGAACTATACTGGAGAGGCTGGTACAGAGGGAGGAGGATGAGGGGATTTTCTGTACTGAGGCATCTGTACTGAACGGGAGAAGCTGTGTACTAAGAGGTTGGTACTGGGGGGGTTCTATACTGAGGCATCCTGAACTGGGAGGGGGGGGGGCTGTTTTGAGTAGTCTCTACTGGAAGGGGTGTCTGTGTTGGAATGCTGATTGTCTGTGCTGGACAGGGAGCCTGTACTGAGGGCGTAGGCTGGAATGAATGATACGGGGAGGCAACTGATATCACTGAAAAAAAAAAATCTACCTTCAGTGTAAATTTTAGTCGAATTATAAGAATCAGAATTGCTTATGGTTTGATAGTTTTTTGATCAATTTTCTGTGCAATAAACCGTTTACAGTAAATGCATCAAATTCATGTATTGACTCTTATGTGCTAACAAAGAAACAATGTGTACACAAGTTTAAAAACAATTCTACATAGAAAGGTACTACGAAATCTGTTGATGTCAGTACAACAAATGATTTGAAACATTAATCAACAATTAGCGATAACAGGTCAATTGATTCCCCTGCGCAAAATCACATCACATCCTGTCATAAAAAGTGGAAGGGGTGGATAAATGGTGATCTAGGTTGGGAAAGAAGCATCAAAGGAAATGAGAGAGACAAGGAAAGAGAGAAATGAAGAGAAGCCACTAAAGCTTCAATGTATTCAGGCCTGGTCCACATCAAGAGTAGGACTAAGAACAGGGGTGGACTGACAACTCATGGGGCCCCCGGGCAACAGGGTATCATGGGGCCCCTGTGTCCTCACCCACACTCAAACCACACCCAAAAAAGCCTATGAAAAAAGGTACCAGGGACATCTCATGGGGTCCCCTAGTGACCCTGGGCCCTTGGGCAGTGCCCGAGTTCCCAAATGGTCAGTTGCCCCTGACTAAGAACATATGTGGACCAGGGGAGCCATGTTGCCAAGTATTTGGTCAGAAATCCTATTTCACTTTTCCTATGTAAAAGTAACTAAAGACTTGGTTTCAGCAGTGGAAAGAGTAGATGTTTTCCATACCTTACCAATAGTTTGCTTGGCTGCCGTAAGAACATGGACCATTGAATGGAACTATACTGGAGAGGCTGGTACAGAGGGAGGAGGATGAGGGGATTTTCTGTACTGAGGCATCTGTACTGAACGGGAGAAGCTGTGTACTAAGAGGTTGGTACTGGGGGGGTTCTATACTGAGGCATCCTGAACTGGGAGGGGGGGGGCTGTTTTGAGTAGTCTCTACTGGAAGGGGTGTCTGTGTTGGAATGCTGATTGTCTGTGCTGGACAGGGAGCCTGTACTGAGGGCGTAGGCTGGAATGAATGATACGAGAGATCTCTATCATGAGGAATATGGGTGGGGGTGAATTGCACTGAACAGAGGGGGTCATATTGGTCGTACTTTGTAAAGTGGTCTATAAGGGCTTGATCACACATGTGGTTGGGGGGGCAGTAAAACCCTTTGGCTCAGCCACAGGTTTACCACCTCCCAACCACTTCCCCATTTGGTTGTAGAGGCATCAGTCAGGGGTGTTGCTTTGGTTTATAGCCACAGCAGGAATTATAGATCCTTATTTATTACTGGGGGCATTTCTTTTTCTATAAATAAATAAAAAGGCACACCCCAGTGAACTTTGATCTCCCACATGCTGTTCAGATAGATCTCCACCTCTTAAAGGTTGCCTACCCCTATCCTAAAACTAGAAAATAAAGGCCTAGCAACTAGTGCACTTAAAATACAGGTGGCAGTTCTATCAGTTAGTATAAATAGCTGATGATGATTGAAGCCATCATTTATGAAGTTTCTATTGGCAAGGGAGCAGTGTATTCCAGTTTGTTGCAAGCTTGTGCTTCGCCTCCATGAAGCCTGTTCTTGGTGCGCCAGGGTCCAACAATAGCTACAGCAGATCATGTTGCTGCTATGGGCTTCGGGTGGAAGGGGCCACCAGAACAGGGTTGTTGATGCAATGTAAACATCAAGAATCTGTGTTCATGTTAGAAAACACAGGTCCATCACTGTATTATTAAGTAATTGCAGAGCTTACTGTTGACACTGACCCCATACCCCATGTGACATTTCCAAGGGAGAAGAGCTGACATCAAGTGTACAGGAAGAGACTTTAGATTCATTGTCAAATATTTCCCATGCTGCAGCAGGCACGGTCAGGCTCCATACTCCACGATCACATCTCAGGTGCTCTCTCAACTTGTCTCCACTGAAGCAATCAACTGTATCAGAAATGCCGCTCTCTAAGATGCAAAATAATATTCTGCCTTTGTTGAAATAGCCAACAGAAACAAGTTTTTTTCTGACATGTTTTGTGCTAGGCACAGTGCATTCTGTTTGCTGTGGAAGGGGTGAGAGGGCATAGAATTTACACTGAGGCCTTGAGAATGGAAATGCTGCATAACATTCAGGGTCTTGTGTTAAGGTATATTGTTTTAGATAAGCAGGTTCCAAATTGCTGGAAATCTGTCTACACTTATCTAAAATGTGTTTAATTGCTATGGATTACTACATACCATTACTAATCTTAGTATTGCTCCAGTAAATAAGTAGGGGTATGAAGAGATTATTTATACTCACCAGCCACTTTTATTAGGTACACCTTGCTAGTGCCAAGAAAATATCCCCCACACCATTACACCACCACCAGCCTGAACTGTTGATACAAGGCAGGATGGATCCATGCTTTCATGTTATTTACGCCAAATCCTGACCCTGCCATCCATGTGTCGCAGCTGAAATCAAATGCCCATTCTTTTCTGACCTCTGACATCAACACGGCTTTTTCGGACCATTTTCTGTAAACCCCAGAGATGGTTGTGTGTGAAAATCCCAGTAGATCAGCATAGTTAGTCTGGCTGGAAACCACAAAAGTCCACCTAGTTCAACCAGTAAAAAAAAAGTTATATTTCCTATACCCACAGTTGATCCAGAGGAAAAAAAAAAAAAAAAAAAAAAAAGCATGGTTCAATTTGCTCCTGCAAGGGGGAAAAATTCCTTCATGATCCCCAGAGAGGCAATCGGATATTCCCTGGATCAACTTTACCTATAAATGTTAGTATCCAGTTATATTCTGTATCTAGGAAAGAATCCAGGCCTTTTTTGAAGCAATCCACTGAGCTGGCCAGAACCGACTCTTGAGGGAGTCTATTCCACATTTTTTTTCAGCAGTTTTTGAAATACTCAGATCAGCCTGTCTGGCACCAACAACCATGCCATGTTCAAAGTCACTTAAATCCCCTATCTTCCCCATTCTGATGATTGGTTTGAATTTTAGCAAGTTGTCTTCACCACATCTAGATGTCTAAATGCATTGAGTTGGTGCCCTGTGATTAGCTGATTAGCAATTTGTGTTAGCAAGCAATTGAACAGGTGTACCTAATAAAGTAGCTGATGAGTGTGTATTCAGTATATTACTGAAGACAAACTGACAATCATTTGATATGCATTCTGTTTTATTTAGAGACTGCGTTGCTTGGCCGTGTTGTCGTTGGACCATACATGTACACCAGAGGTCGAGAGCTGGAGCACTGGAATGAAATGCTTAATAAACCCAAAGAACTTGTGAAAAGATGGCATGCTCTGAGCATCAGTACCTGAAGTTTAACTACCTTTCTAGACACAGGAAGACACTTATCAAAGTTCGTAAAATAATTGGAAATTGCAATTTAGACTTGGCGTTGCTCTGAATGATGCATGTTGCCATCGCATGGAGCTGTCACTGGCTTTCAGTCTTGTTGGTCTGATTTAAGAGAGACTGGGATTTCCAAGGAGTATACTTATATATAGACCATACTTATATATAGACCATGCTATGATAGCTTGGCTATTTCACAGTATTATCTCTGCTAAAATAGTTGGCAAAGAACACATAGTAGTACAATGTTTGATGTACAGTAGCAAAATGTTAGTTTGGGTCATGTTTATTAATAAATGGTACAAATAACTAAATATTCATATGCCTGTAGGTTTTGTATTTATTTAAAGAAGAACCTTACCCAAAATGTTTTAAGAATGCAGGCACTCTCATAATTTTTACTGCTGTCCATGGAAATGGAATTGTCATCCGCCTGCCAGACCACCAAGCATGCTGCTTCCATGTATTGCTATGGAAAATCTACTAGGAGTGCAGTGACAAGGAAAAGGATGGTTCAGATAATTCACTTTAAGGTTAGGTTCACACTTAGGCAGGTGATAGCACAGGTCCGCAATCATAAATTCCACGCAGGGCTTTCATTAAACAATAATGGCATCCCCACGCATCAAAAAATGCAGCACGTGTACGGGAACGTGCAGAAAATCCTATGGTGCAAAATCAGCATGCGATTTTCCTGCTGCTACATTTCAAAAAAGGTGCATAAAATGCAGGCACTTCAGGACATTAAAACGAATGGGCAGCAAACAAAAAGTGTTTAACTCAATCTGTGTTTTGGCTATTACTGTGAGACAGTTAACTCCTTTCCACACTCCACTTCAAGTTCAACTTAACAATAGAAAACATAGAATTATGAGTCTTCACACTTGCATAGCTCAGTTTTCTTAAAGACAGTTGTGCTCAAACGTTTGCATTCACTGACAGAAATGGTGAAATGTTGGCATTGATATTGAAAATATGACTGATCATGCCAAAAACTGTCTTTTATTTAAGAATAGTGATCGTATGAAGCCATTTATTATCACATAGCTGTTTGGCTCCTTTTAAATCATAATGATAACAGAAATCACCCAAATGGCAATGATCAAAAGTTTCCATACCCTGGAATGTTTGGCCTTGGCACAGACACACAAGATGACACACACAGGTTAAAACGGCAAATAAAAGGATAATTTCCCACATCTGGGGCTTTTTAAATTGCAATTAGTGCCTGTGTATAAATAGTCAATAGGTTTGTTAGCTCTCATATGGATGCACTGAGCAGGTTAGATACTGAGCCATGGGGAGCAAAAAAACTGTCAAAAGACCTGCATAACAAGGTAGTGGAACTTTATAAAGATACAAAAAGATATCCAAAGCCTTAAATATGCCAGTCAGTACAATCATTTATTAAGAATTGAAAAATCTGGGGATCTCTTGATACCAAACCAATAAAGATCACAGCCACAATTGCCAGAAGAATTGTTTGGGATATAAAGAAAAGCCCACAGGTAACTTCAGGAGAAATACAGGCTGCTCTGGAAAAAAAAGACTGTGTGGCTGTTTCAAGAACCTCAATACGACGATATTTGAACAAAAATGAACTGCCTCGTCGTGTTGCCAGAAAACAAAACGTTTACTGCACAAATGCCACAAAATAACCTGGTTACAATATGCCTGACAACACCTTGACACACCTCACAGCTTCTGGAACATTGTAATCTGGAGTGACGAGACCAAAATAGACACAACCATAAGCTAAGCGCCATGTTTGGAGAGGGGTCAACAAGGCCTATAGTGGCTGACTGATGTTTTGGGGGTGTATGAGCTCTAAAGGCATGGAAAATCTTGTGAAAATTGATGGCAAGATGAATGCAGCATGTTATTGGAAAATAATGGCAGACAATTTTCATTCTTCTGCATGACAGCTGGGCACTGGATGGTCTTGGACCTTCCAGCACAACGTTGACCCTCCATTGGTTGCAGAAGAAAAAGGTCAAGGTCCTGGAGTGGCCATCACAGTCTCTGGAAGTCTGGGAAGATCTCAATCATGTGGTTCATGCAAGATGACCAAACACTTTGCATGTCCCAGAAGCATTTTTCCAAGACAAATGGGCAGCTATACCTCCTACAAGAATTCAGGACCGTATAGACAACTATTACAAAAGACTGTACATTGCCATTGCTAAAGGGAACAATACACAGTATTAAGAACTAAGGGTATGCAGACTTTTGAACAGGGGGCATTTTATTTGTTTACTTTTTGCCATGTTTTGCTTTTATGATTGTGACCTATAGTTGAATATGAATCCCCTAAGAAAATAAATGTGTTTTGCCTGCTCACTCATGTTTTCTTTAAAAATAATATGTGCTGTACCAATTCTCCAAGTGAATACAAACTTTATACACATTAAATGCATTCTTTAAAATGCTCTTTTCAATACCCTTCACAGTGGTGATCTTCCAGTGCTGCAGGGGTTATGATTGGTGGATACAAGCAATGGCACCGCTCCCCTACCCCTTTCTCTTTTCTCTCTTCCATTCACAAAACTCATATTATTCTTTCCCAGAATGGAAAGCACTCTGATTAGAGGAGACTGATCATGTCATTTATCTGTCTGTCCTCCATTCATAGAGTGCTTTGCATTTTGGGAAAGCAACCAGCAGAAGATGGAACAAGTTATGTCCCTGGTGCCGCATAGCCAAAACAAATTTCACTAAACTTCAGCTTTAAAGTCAAATGACCTTTCTGTGTTATTTCTTGCAATACGGTGGTAGGGGAACACACTGACCATATGTGTGCTTTCTGCAATATGGTACCAAACTGTACATGTGTTACCTCCTTCAGTAGCATGGCAGCAATGTCTGGAATATACAATATTGTAAGAAATCTTAGCAAGTCTGTATATGGCAGGGATGTGGAACAATTGCAACTGAACCTAACTGTATATGTGTATATGTCTCCTGGAGTTGTCATCTTAAGAATGTAAGCCCAGGGGGAGCAGAGTTGGTATGGCCATTGTTTAGTATGTTTCAGCAGTGGGAAAGGAGCATACTCAGAAATACAAATGTACAATTATGTGCCTGCTCATGGATGGGTAAATTTACATGATATTATTTTTGGCTTCTGAGTGATGCAATCAAGCAATATTTTTCAGCTGGACACCTATTTTTTGGTCATGTGTGACACATTACTAGAACTGGTTATCTGGAGTCAGAGTAAAAAAAAACTGATCATGGAGTAGGGGAAGAAGGAGACTGAATCTGGTGTAATAATTGAAACTAATAAATTCAGTGGCTTCTGCCCTGGCTTTGAGGTTCTGGTATACACCAGCAGTCTGCCTCTCCTGGCATTTCTAGCCTACCAACCAATTGGTCGGCCATTCAGCCATCCATCCTTCCATGAGTCTGTTGTCAACATATTTTCAGCGGCCTGTGCCTGCCATGCTCGCCTGAGGGAGGTAATTTATTGTTGTGACCCATGATCACAATCCACCACTAGTCTGTCACCATCAAGTACATGGGCACAATGTTGTGTGGTATTATCATCAGTTTATGGCAGATATTGTAGACAAATGTATGAATACATTTGTGGATTATTTACCATAGAAACCTTTTATTGACTGGATTCACAGTGTGTTAATAAATGTTTTATGATTCACACATCCTAGTGTGCTGGGGATTTATACCTATATAAGCTGTCCTAAATGCTCTATGTGGATTATTGTAATCATTGAAAGTTGAGCTGAGCATGGTTGGGGGGCATATGGGAAGATGGTTGTGGCTGGGGGGAAATGGAAGTTGAGCTGGAGCCAACAGTGGACAGGGGAAAGTAGACAAAGGGAAAACCGAATGTCACTGAAAGGTGAGAGGGAAGGGAAATGACCAGTAGCTCATTGTGTTGCAGAAGAGATGATGAAACACAATTAATTTTTACATGGATTTACCAATCGTTGGTGAATTGAATATTGGCAGATTTACAGATTCACTCATGTCTCCTTTTACATGACCAAACACAATTTGAACTTTAGATATTGTAAAGGTCCATTGTATATGGTGTGTGAAAAGTTGATTCCTCCAATTTCAGGTGGTGGTATACATCTACTTACTATTAATATAACCAATAAGCAGCACAGTGCTGGTGGGAATTATTACATCACATTAGTTTCTTTAGAACACAAATACTGAATTTAGTAGTAAGTAACTGTTTTTTGTTTTTTTTCTTAAATGCAAGGGCACATGAGAAGCAGAAACATACTCAGGGTGGGGCTTTTAACTACACTAAACAAACTAAACTAAATGATTGTCATGAAAGCAGGTGGTTCACGTGTGATTTTATGCCCCCCCCCATCCTGACAACCCACCTAAACTAGGACATGCATCCGTTCACACATGCTGCAGGGTATACACATGCTGCAGAAAAATTAAACAGCGTGCAGTGGTACCGCCACTCAACAATGCCTCACCCCAACCGTATGCAATGCACATTTTAAAATGTATCCTCTATGCGCAATTAAATATTCAGTAAAATGTGGCTTTTACATTAAACATAAATGAACCCCCTCATCAAATATGTGGAGGCTATCATTCCTCAGTTCTCTATCAGAAAATGCATAGTTGCCTGAGTGTCATGCTGGCCTTCTCGCTTTAATGCTTTGACCTGAACAAGTATGCAAGGGCTTCTGACTTTTCGCCAAATGTCCTGATCTCTATGCTTGTGTCAGTACAGTTCTAGCCATCTTTTTTTTTTGTATTTGTAGCACTGCCCCCATAAGGGACGCTGAGTTTGATTTGGGTCCCTCTATGCTCTGCACGTCCAGGAAACATTTTCCACATTTGTACACTTAGAGTCAATAAACAGTCCTTGAGATTGATTTTATGTTTTTTTATTAGGGGTTAGAAACTTGGATTGGGTCTAGGGGTATATGGGATGCCTGAGGAACTGTAGAACTTGAGCACAACTCCT